GACGTACAGACACATTTTCATATTTTTGGTGAGCTGAGTATGATCAACACTATGTGGTGGAGGTGTGTGCTACACTGAGTGCCCCTCTAGTTTGTGCTGTTGTCTTCCTTAACTTGTGCTCCTAAGTAGTAATATGGCTAGTTCTGGAACTTGTACATGTGAAGTTATAAATACAAGCATACAAGTAGTGCAGTTGTCAATGGAACTGTAACCGATCTTATAGGAATGTGAATAATACAGTTTATGTCTCAAAGGAAATATACGTTTGAGAGCTTGATATCTCATCTTGTACACTGGAACACATGGTTAGCAAACCTATATTAAATCAGGTTGTGTGTTTGTAAATTTGTTTGTCTGTGAAATCTTTGCATAGTTTTGAACTAGCAGAATCAAACTTGGTAGGTGGACTCAAAATGGTCCAGGAGTTGTCCTTATATATATAAGGCTTGGGGGTGAGAATTAAAATGCATCTGGAAAGTCAACCAGGCATGACGAGTGTCTAGGAGTAAGTTTTCAGAATTATTGAACCCAAATCTTTCATTAGATTCTGTGCGCTTAATCTCCAATAGATCCCAGGGATGCTATGTTTGAAACTGTCTTCATAACCTCTAGCTCACAAGCTGAAACTAAACTTGGCAAACATGATCAGGTACCACAGGTGGATGTTCTAATGGTGTATGTTTTGTGGTACATACTGCTTTGGGGTAGCTAACAGTAATTGTTGATAATGAAAGAGCTTGATCGGTAAATTGGAGCATCTATGAATCATTAGGTGATCCTTTGAATCTCATATCAGAGTGTGTATAGTTTTTGCTAGTCATTGTAAAAAGTGAAAGAATAAAAAACTTTCAATTTTATGCAAATTGTAATATCTGAATAAATGGACATTTATATAGAAGCATATTTGTGGAAATGCAGAAGCTGATGTAACTAGTGGACAATATTAATCAGTTGTTTTTTCTTTTCAAATTTTCTAGCACAGAATAGCAAACTGTATATATTTTGTAAATAAGTGATGTATCTACAGATGAATAAACTGTTCATTTTGTTTATATTCTACAATCCAACATTTTATTTTTAAACCATTATCAAGGGCTACAGTTGCTGGTGAAGCTTGGCTATATCTAAGACAAGATGTGTTTAGGTGGGAAACTTGGTACATGATCATTTTTATTATTAGTCTCTTTTTGAGTAACTTCCCGCTGTGGTTCAGCCATAAGTCTCAAGGCTTAAAATGCTAAATACCAGACTTCAATACCCTTGGCAGGTACAGCATAGATAGCCCATTGTTAGCTTTGTGCTTAATAATAAAACAAACAAACAGTCTTTGAGTAATGGTTAACTTTCAACATAAATGTATTTTACTGTAAATAAAAAGTATTGCATTATTACACTAAAAAGTACATATATAAGCATACTCAGAACTGCAAAGATGGATCTGGTTTCTTATCTAGTTACTGCCAGTAAGTTCACTTTGAGGCCTTTCATATGTTCTTTAAATATTTGCCATCTATTTACAGCTCTAGCCACTAAAATGTGCATGGTATTCAATGCTGAACAATGATACTAAATCCACAAGTGATGACTTTAGCTCATCACCAACAGTGTAAGGTTTAGACGTGTGATATCATGAAACCTTGTTGCTCTGTTTGACAAATGTCGGGTGTGAAATGTAGAGTCACCCGAAAATGCCTGGCATCAGATTCCTTTTTTTTTTTTCTGCTCAAAAATTTTGTTTTGAAATATGGATTTAAAAAATCCATGTTACTGACACCTGTTGGGTATCTTATCAATTCTACATTCTTTCATCCTTTAAAAATCATTGCTTTAATACAGATGTGTTGATAATACTTGTAAATCCTGTTATTGGTGGTTTTTTTTAAATCTGAACAATTGGCATCAAAGTATCAAATTCACAGTTGAAGAACACAAAGACTTGTTTCCTCCTTTTGAATTTGGAGACTAAAAATGTTGACTCTTTTTCAGCTTGTTTTTTTTTTTTTTAGTATCACAAACTTTATTTTTCTCTTGTTTTAATGTTTTAACATTTATTGTGGCTTCAGTCTGCTGGTGAAGAAAAAGAAATTAATTTTTCCTTACAATTAGTTTTCC